GTTCTGAGTGATGGGGTAGGGGGGCATGAGAGATAGCAGGGGCCTCTTCAACCTTGTGGAGGGAAGCACTCTGCAGGGAGGTGCCACTCAGACACCAGCCAGCCTTGACTTTCTCCCTCTGTCTCTTTTAGGTTGCAGCTGGCAGGGGTCATGAGGGCGTTGGCTGGTCCAGTACCATATATACACATTTCCTTAAGGTCTACACCATATTGGGAGTGTCTGTGACCTCTCCTTTCCAAAGATAGGGATCAGTGGCTCATGGGCACCTTGCAACGCCCTGTTATTGCTCAGAACAGGCTGCCTAGCAAGCCCAGGAGGATGACCAGACAGGCAGGCCACCCCACAATGAATACAGGTGGCAGCTGTCACTCCCTAGTCTTCAAAGCAGAGCAAGACTAGAGCCTGGGACCAAAAAACTCCATGAGAAAGGGCCCTGGTTTAAAGTCAGTGCAGTGAGTCATGTTCCTCTAGCCAAAGTAGATCTGAGGCCTGTGGGTGATGAAATTCCTCATTAGTGAAATGGGAGAATACAGATGCCATCTGTACAGACACACAATATGTGATGTCACCCCCACTTAGCTAGCTTGAGAGAAAGCAATCTCAGAGGGGCCGAGGGACTGGCCCAAGGTCACACAGGCTGCAAGGACCAGTATGATCCCTCAGCTATTCTGTTCTGAGAAGCCACCAAATTGGCCACCTCTGAGTGCTTCTTCCTCCTATACAGTGTGACCAGGTGAGTATTGGTGGTGTGGGGGAGGGGAAGATCGAGGCCTCTTTCCTCACTAAGTCCAGAGACTGGGCCACACTCACCCATGTCCAGAGCCTTGGTGGCCAATCTGGCTCACAGCATGCCTGCCGCCCCTCTGCAGAGTCCCCTGGGGAATTGTGACCTATCTTCTGTCCCACCTAAATAGCACTATGCCCAAGACCTAAGCCAGGAAGTTTGGACAGATGTATGGCCCCAAGGGCATGTTGGAAGCACTTGCTAGTAGTGTTTCAAATGGCCTTGAATTCTAACACAGAGTGACTGGGATCCTGCTCTGGGGCCCAGGGTGCACTTGGAGGCTCAAACACACAACTCTTTTCTATGAGGCCAGGTTAGCCCCTGTCCACAAATCTCAACTTTCTCAGTGCCAGCCCTGGGTGCTTTGGAATCCTCCTGGCCTTTTCCACTTGTAGCTGGGTTCTATCCCTGCCCTTGCCAGGTGTCTAGAGTCCTCATCTAGATTGGCAGGTCCCCAGGCCACACCTCCCTGGGGAGCAGGACCACAGGCAGAGGGGACAACCCCCCCCCCGCGCCATCAAAAGGATGCATCCTGATGGTGGGAGGCATCTGTACCTAGGCAGTCATCCCTCTCCAGGTCCACTGCTCAGGACAGCAAGCACTGGACCCTGCTGGTCACAGCCCTTCCCCATCCTGGCCCCAAGTGAGCAGAGGGATTCGGGTCCAGGGACGAGAGAGCAGAACCAGGGCTTGAATGTGAAGTTGCTGAGAACCCAAGAGGACAGGACCCAAGGAATAATTCACACATCAGAACCCAAGTGGCAGAGAAAAGAGGCCTGAGGGTGTCGGAGGGATGGATCCCCAGCCAGCTCAGCATGGTAAGTGGCAACTAGTACTGAGGAACTGTGTCTGTGGAACTGAAGGAACAGACCTCTGAGGCCAATACCATTATCAAATTTTCCATTTTGACAGTACTGAGGATTAAACCCAGGGGTTCCTGCACACTAGGCAAGCACTCTACCCCTGAGCTACACCCCCAGGTCTCTTTTTAGTTTTTGAGACAGGGTTGCCCAGGCTGGCCTTGGACTTGCAATCCTCCTGCCTCAGCCTCCTAAGTGGTGGAATGACAAGTGTGTGTTCCCTCATCCTGCCTGATGCCAACACTCTATGCTGTGAAGATGCTCACTGTCCACTCGCTGTCCCACATCTGATAGGCCTCAGATGACCATGAACCCCAACACAGGGTCTCCTCTCAGTGGCCTCATGTAGTCCAGGAACTCAAAAACGTAAGCATTTGAACATGACCTCCAACTAAGGGCACTCTCCCTTCTGTAGGTACAAGGACAGGATGGTCCCAGTGGTGCCCACAGCCTGTCAGTTCCTCGAATTAGGATCCCATCAATCCTATAATTGCTTCCCTGGCAGCTCAGCCCAGCTTCCCCATGCTCCCGGGAATGCTAGGAGCACTTGTCTACATGGGGGTGGAACACAGTCAGACAGACGCGCTGCAGGACATGGTTGGTTTTGGAATTCAGGAAGACCAGAAGATGCTCAGACATGCTCCTTCCTCTCTGTGGCTCATCTGAGAGGCTCACAGTGCTCCACACATCCCAAACCCCAGAGCTATAGGACCTGAAGACCCTATTTTGCTTTGCTGGAAGGGAGTCAAGAGTGCTGTGGTAACCCACTGGAGTGAGGGGGTCAGGGTGCTGAAGTAGCCTGTTGTGGATGGGAGTCACAGCCTGCTGGGGAATAGGCACCAAGGTGCTGAGATACCCCATGAGGATATTGGGGTAAGGGTGCTGAGCTAGCCCAATGGGGGGTGGTCTACAGCACCTGCTGAGTCTGGTTACCCCATGGCACACAGTTAACCCCCAACACAAACATTTTTCCAAATAGCCAGACCATGCAGCCCCTGGGGAATTCATCACTTCCTCTGATGTCACCCTAAGCACCATTACCTGGAAGCTCAAACTCCGGGCAGCTCAGATGACTGGCACCCCAACCACTTGGGGGGCCTTCCACAGGCTTATCAGCAAGCAAGACCAGTTCTAAGCCCTGTGGTTGGCCTTAGCTGGAGCTAGTCACCAAGCAAAGGGGTGGGGGAGCCCCAAGTTCATCACTCATTGTCAAGTGTGGCCTGGCTCCCAGCCAGCCCCTAGGGGAGCCTCAGGCTCCTGAAAGCCCTGCTGGCTTGCCCATCCAAGGCACCTTTCCCCACTGCCACTGCTTTCTGGGCAGGAAAGCCCTCCTTGGTGTCGCAGAGCAGACTCCTGTGCCCCCCGTAAACTCTGGGTAGCTGTGATGCTGGTCACCACTTTGGGTGCAGAGTGACACTTCAGTCCCTCCTAGAGCCAGCCAAGAGACACCACAGCCAAGGCAGCTTCCTCTGCGCCCGCAACACTGAAGGATGCTAAGGGCTTGGTGTTTCCACCACACACCCCACCTTGTCCTTGTCCCGTCCCACCTCTGAGGAGCAATGGGAAGAAAAGACATGGGGGTGCCCACAGCTGGCATAGCCTATGGGCCAACTACCATGGAAAGGGTCCTGCATACACACATCTCATTTACCCAACCCATGGTACTGTTGCATTCCCATTGATTCTCAGAGGCAGAGGCAGAGGCAGGCTCACAGAAGTGCAGTGGCATGCCCAAGGTCACACAGTCAGGGACCAACAGGACCAGGATGCACTAGCTGCATACATAACCTCCACGCTGAGCTTCAGAGGGGGCCCAGCATGTCCAATCAGGGTTCAGCGCACACAGCAGAGAGGAGCCAGAGATAAACTGGTGAGGGAAAGCAGACCTGGCTCCCTGCCAAGTGCTTTAGTAGAATAAAAACACAAGGCTGAGGTTTGAAAGAACCTTCTAGAAACAACCTTGTCTCCAGGTGAGAGCAGGGGCCCGGGATCAGGCAGGTGGGACTCATGGGCTCTTCTTTCCTGGCATCAGTGTCAAATCAGGACTGCCAGATGCAGTACAGGAAGGCTAGTCTCAGCTGAGCTCCAGCTAAACTGCAGGCTGCAGGATATGGATGTCCCATGCCATCGCTAAAAAAATTAGTGGGGGCCAGCCCCAGGGTAGAGCACTTGACCAGCATGTGTAAGGCCTCGGGAAGTACCAAAAAGGTCCGTCCCTCTGTCTCTATCTATGTCTCTTTCTTTCCTTCCCCTCCTCCCCGCTCCCTGCTCCACTCAGTGGACCCTTTATTCATTAAATCTAGACTCCTATGCTAAACAATAGGAGTGGTATGATCCCACTAGCCAGAAAGGTCTGATGAGACCAGCCCAACCTCTGGTCCCCAGAAGTAAGTAGTCAGGGTCTGGCCTCTAGGGCTTCTGTCTATTCCTCCTCATCTCGGTCACTGGGGTCCTCCACCACTGCTTGAGAGGGGGCAGTGGAATATCATCCACCTGGCTGGGCAAGTGCAGGAACAAGTGCAGGAGCCCCAAGGGTGATCTGAGTCCAGATGGTGCCTGGGAACCCCCAGCCCTCAGCTCCCTATGAAAGATGACCCACCTAGAGCTCCAGAGGCCCTAGACATCACCACAGCCAACTTCCCTAGTAGCGAGGTAAAGAATTGAGGCTTTACTGGGTCCCTGCATCCCTGTCTAAACAGCCAGGACAGGGAAGACTTGGGTCAATGGGGGAAACTGATGTCACGGCTGTCCTGTTCACAGGTCTCTATTGCCACCACTATCACAACCACCATCAAGGCTGCTGTGACAGTCATCATCATCACCATCCCTGCCATCACCACACCATCATTACCATTACCACCATCATCTCTTGCCAGCCCAAGTCCCAGGCTTTGCTCCAGGATCCTTCTTAAATTAAGTCATTGAGTTATCCTTTGGCCACTCCCTCTTAATCCCAGTCACTCTGGTTGTCCCTGGCTGCCCTCCAAGGGTCAAGATGTCACATGCACACCCCTAACCGCAGAGAGGCGGAAAACTGGCAAGACATGGAGAGAGGAAGGGGGGTCCAACCCTCTTCTCTGGATTGAACCCCAGCTCCTTCTGCCGCTCTACTTGAACACTGGCATGTAGAACCCAGACAGAGCTTGGTCCCAGGACTCAGAGTAATCTCATCCAGACACTGGACCCAATGTTCTGACCCCAGAGCACCTGGGCAGATCCTGTTCCCTTCCCTCCCAAGCTCTGAAGCCAGCTCCACCTTCTCTGGTATCCAAACATCATCCTGCCTACACCCTCCTGCATACTCTTTGGTCCAGGGATTCCCCCACCTAAGCACAGGAAAGTGCCCCAGCTCTTACCTGTAGACATCCACCAACGTCTCCACTCCTACCACACACACAGCATGAGTGGGCTTCTTCAGAGATAGTTGCACAGCTCTCTGTGGGGCCATCATGTGCCAAACTCCCAACCTTCTGGTCCGGCTAGCTCGGGTGCCCAGCAGCCACAAGCCCCGGCTGCCTCCCTGGCTCCCCAGCTCTTCTTGGGGACACCTGGCTGCCGGGTAGGAACGTGCGTTCTAATGGGTTGGTGCTCTCTCCTCCCTTTTAATTTCACCCTGCAACCTGGGGAGCCTGCCTGAGCCTGGTCCCCACCTCCTGGCTCCACGCCCAGTCACCTAAGTCATGGGCTGTCAATCTAGGAGGCTGGGAGGGAGGTATCTGAAGCTCTCTGTGAGGTGGGAAGGGGCCCTGGGAATAGCCAGGCTCAGGTGCCAACAGGAAACTCAGAGGGTCTAGTCATCCCACTCATGGGCTCTCGTGCCTGAACCCATACTGTGACAGCCCTTCTGAGGGCTCCATGCCAGGCACCAGCTAAGCAATTTGTAGATCCTGTCTCCTGTGTGTGGCAATCCAGTCTTCAGGGTCAGCTCAGTGGATGGACATCGTGTGGTTCAAATCCCAGCACTGACACTCAGAGCCACTGAGGGGGTAAGGTCACTTAAGCTCTGCACGACTCCGTTTGCCCCATGTGTAACAGCTGCCGTAACAGAAGGACCTATGGGGTGAGAGTTCAGGGCAGTGGAGGAGAGTTAGCCTGGTCTAAAAGATGTGCGGGTGGTTGCTCAGGTCTCTTGTCTTCAAGACAGGTTCGAAATCCTACTTCTCTGTCCACTGACATCCCAGGGCCAAGGCACCATCACCTCTGCCCAGAGGATGAAGAGCCTGCAATCCTCGATGTCACGTGCCTCCCTCTTGCCTCAGGGAGGGGTCTATTTCCCAGGCCATCAAGTCCTAGGAGCAAGGAGCCTGGTCTCTCCTGCACCTCCTAGGGTGCCGAGCACATAGGAGCCCAGCAGCACCAGTGTGAGCACAGAGTATCCCAGGAACCGTCCCTCCACAGGTTCAGAACCTGCCTCCTGAGTTCAGAAAAGAGCTTTTCTATATGCTTTTCCTTCCTTCCTTCCTTCCTTCCTTCCTCCCTCCCTCCCTCCCTCCCTCCCTCTCCCTCCCTCCCTCCCTCTCTTCCTGTGAAAACAGTGAATTTTATTAAACACTGACAGTACTTCATGAAGAAACAAAATCAAAGGATGGAGATGTTGCCTGCTTGGTCGAGTGCTTACTTAGTTTGCACGCGGCCCTGGGTTTGATCCCGAGTACCACATAAAACTGGGTGTCACGGCAGTGAATGCCTGCAACAGCGGCAGGAAGATTGGGAGTTCAAGGCCATCCTGAGCTGAATAGTGAGTTTGAGGTTGGCATTTCAGCAAGAAAGGAAGGAAGGAGAAAGGAAGGAAGGAAGGAAGGAAGGAAGGAAGGAAGGAAGGAAGGAAGGAAGGAAGGAAGGAAGGAAGTCAAATTCCAAAACCATTTCATTTCAATCATTGCTGTGTCTGTGTTTGTGTCTGTCTGTCTGTCTCTCTCTCTCTCATACACACAGATACACATACATGATCAGAAGAACATACGTCAAAATTAACAAACACGTTCTATAACATTTTCTTCATATTTCCCCTCAGGTCGTCTTCAACTTTAAAGAAGTAAATTTCCTTGAATAAGGAAGCAATATTTGGGACAGTGCTCAAGCAGGTTTGTGTAGACCATAGTCACGTGACACCGTCTCTGGCCCTAGCTTTGCTTATGGGAAGGTTGGGTAAGGCAGCTAAGAATACCCCCCATTCACTGCAGTCACACGGGGGACAATTCAGACCCTCGTCACGGGGCCACTGTGGGAATGAAAGGCATGGAAGCAAAGCCAGGGGTGGTGGCCAACACTTTGAGGCCCTGTTCAAGTCCCCTCCCCTGTGGCTGGTCAAGGGTGCTCCCCCACTGACTTGTGCCCTCTGAATTCTGGCACCAGGGCAGCTGATGACGTCCTCGGGTTAACTGGAAGTGGCATAGGAGGAAGCATGTAAGGATGGCCGCAGTGTTCGGGGTCCGAGTCACCAAAGGGCTGGCATCTTGGTTCGATGGAGGGAGAAGGCTGGGTGTAGGTCTAGGGATTGGCTATTCTGTCGTAAACATGAAGAGGCCACTGGACTGCTGACTGGAGAGGGTGGATGACATGTCCCCTTCATGATGAGGGACTTCTCTGGGCCACAGGACATGCCTCCCAAGCGGCGAACACACAGCCGAGAATTCTTTCCGCAGGCAGGGGACAGCAAAGACAAGTAGGAGAGACACATTCCCTGCAGGAGGGGTACCTGACAGCCCCATGGAGGTGCTTGCTCCCAGGAACCTCCAGTCTGGCTAGGAAGCAGGAAACAAATGAAGAAAAACGGCATAAACTTTTATGTGCTTCCTCTTTCGGGAATGATCTTCCTTTCCATCAGCATAACTGAGTATGATATTTCTGGCCTTAAAAGTTCATTCTGTACCGAGCAGTGGTGGCGCACACCTTTGATCCCAGAACCCGGGAGGCAGAGCCAGGCGGATCTCTGAGTTTGAGGCCAGCCTGGTCTGCAGAGTGAGTTCCAGGACAGCCAGGCCTAAACAGAGAAACCTTGTCTTGAAAAACAAAAATTCATTTTACCTATAGGCATCAAGGCTAAGCCTTAGTTTACCCCCTGGCTACAGAAACCAGCAAAGCAGCCCTACAGGAGTGGGCCTTTCCACCATCTTTTGCCCAAACCAGAAGAACCAGGACCCCAGTCATTTTGTCTAAACCTATCTAGCGGTAGAAACGTGTAGCGTGAGCTCTCCCAAAGTGCACAGGCTTCCACTGAGGAAGACTGGACGGATGGAGGGGTGGAGGGATAGACCGGTGGATAGATGAACAAGGGGATGAGCGGACAGATGGAAGAGAAAGAGGAAAGTGAGGAGGGAGGTGTGGTGTATAAGAAGACGATGGAGGTGACACGATGGGACAGTGCCAGTGCTGATGACAATGAGGTCCGCCACACCAGTCGTCCCAGACCCAGCCTGCCTGTGCCGGGCAGTTTGCAGGACTCTTCCGTGTATTTGCTCATCCAACCTTCCCAACAGTTCCAGGAGACAATTCCGACCAAGCCTGAAGACCCGAGTTCAGACAGACCATGGCCTGGCTGTGCTCTTGGCCAGTGTGGGGAGGGTGGGGCAGCAGGACCTGGCTTCTCCAAGGGGTCACTCTTGGGGTTGAGGGAAAAGAAGGGAGGCAAGGAGGGTTGGAGAGGATTGGGTAGGGGTACAGAGGTAGGAACCGAGGCCTGAGCTGAGACGAACTCACAAGGCCGGCTTTCTGCACACAGGCCGCCTCACCTCTACCTGGGCTCCTGAGCATCCACAGGTCCCTGCCGGGGGAGCATTAGGTCCTTCTGTGCACGTCTCCCTTCGCTCAAATAGGCCTCCTGAGCAATTTGAACAGCCATTTGCACTGTTTAGGAAATAGCACGCACTGTCACGATCCTCTCATTGAGGGAAACCCACGTGGCTGTTCTCCAGGCCCCGCTGTGGATTCTGAACCCTCCCCACCCTCTTCCTTTTCTTCGACCTGAGAACATTTCCTGGGAGACATCATGACCTGCCCAGGCCCCTGCCCTACCCACACCCCACAAAGTCACATCCTGCACATCCAGGATGTGGTCTCTTTGAACTTGAGACTCCAGGTTTGATGGGTCAGACCCGGGAGCAGCGGGGGTGGAAGCTGGGTGACCTCACCACCCCCTCCACAGATGGAATATTCAGCTCAGAGTTGCTGCCCTCACTGGGCAGCTGAAAAGACAACGCCATGCTGGGGACAGCTGCCCAGGAACTGTGGGACTGAGATGTTTCCAGTGTGCCCTGTGAACAAGCCGAGGATACAGTAGCTGGGCAGGTGTCTAGGTCTGGACTATGACATCCATGTCCCATTTCCTCACTAGCTTTGTGGAGGCTGATCATTTTTCTTTGTGCCGAGGTACAGCAGGGAGCCAACCAATAAGACCTTGCCCTCCTGGGGCACAGACAGCAACAAGCTGTACACACAGTGACAGCCAGGCAGCAAGCGAGGATGAAGACCAAAAGGGGTGGGGAGCATTATACAGAGAATGGTGATCAGGGCAGGCTTGGCTGTACAAATGACTTGGGAGTAAGTCGGAAAAACAACAACACAGACATACACATGCACACACATACACACATGCACACACATACACACATGCACACACACACAATACACACATACACACAATACACACACACACACACACACACACACACACACACACACACACACACACACAATCTTAGTAAGCTCCAGGGTGCTGCTGAGTTCAGAGACTATAATTCCTGCCCCCTCTAGGCCACCAGCTCCCCATGAGTGGAACTAGATCAGAATTCTCACTCAGGACACCTTTCAGGGGTCAGGCAGGCTACTCAAAGGAGAAGAATTGCCGGGAGGGAGATGGTAGGGCTGGGTGGCTGCTGTGTCCAGGGACACAGCCTGCCTGGACTGATCACAAGTTGCTATGCCCTGAGAAAAAAAACCCATGTGCTGCACTGTGGTGCAGGCTCTGGGTAAGGGTAGGATTAAGTCTGTTTGGGGAGGTGACTGGATGTCTGTGAGGTTAGGCACCTGGGCCAGGGGAGCTCTGGCAACCAGCAAGACATAGAAATGGCCAGTCCAGCCTGCCTGGTGACTGCCAACCCCAGATGTGGCTCTTCCAGCCTGAGGGTCACACCCCTGATGGTACTTCTCCAGGGCAGCCTGCGGGGAGGGGCATCTGTAGAGCCCCTAGCTCCAGGCCCCTTCCCTTTCCTGTTCTCACCTCCCTTCCCAGGCATGGCAGGGATGGTCCCACCTGCTTCCTGGACTCCAGCTTTGCTCTGGAAGGGTCCTCTGTCACCATCAGAGGATAAAGGTCTCTGGGCTCATTTTCCAGTCGGATTAGCCAAAGCTTGAAGGGAGCAATGACTTACCCAAGGTGACATGGGTGAAATCACAGGAAGTGGAAGCGAGACCCAGTGTTTTCATTCATTCATTCATTCCTCATTCACT